GATTACTCAGGCGTTCATCAAGGCATGTTTGCTCAGCGACTCAATAAGCATGCTACAGATCAAGGCAGAGTACATACGGAAACAGTGGCTCCATCTGATACAGCACACAGCGTTTTGCAAAATCACCTTCTTTTTTGTCCCAGGGATGGCTGGTGTGAAAGGCAATGAGATAGCAGTCGCTCTGGCTGGCAGTGTTACTATCAAGAATGGGCCCTCTGTGGACAGGAGAGACATCATCAACCCCAAACAAGAGACTAAATGCTGTGAGGCGTTTAGTTCTGTTGAAAAATTATTTTTCACTGAATAGACTGCATATCCTGGGTGCACCAATTAGACCAGCGAGACAGGAAAACCATGCAGGAGCCACCCATCGTTACATCAACCAAAACAGAATGGGAGTTGTTAGCCTAAAAACACTTGGAAACATACTGAGGAGGAGCGGAGCACTTATGGTCATGTCCAATGTGCGATGGAGATTATCTTAAAAATGAACAATGAACAATAAATTAGCCAGTGAGAGAAGCTACTTACTGATTTTAAGTCAGCTGTGGTAATGGTACAAGGCTGATTCATTCTCACCAGGCAACCACTAGAGAGTAAATGGTTCTCTAAGTAACTAGCAAAATGATAGACTGCAGTTTCAATTTTCTACTTTATTTATGATGCTGCTATGTTTTGGTGCCTAAACAACAATTATTGAGTATTACAAACTAAAAAAATTACAATAATTAAAAATGCATGTTCAAACTAAAAAAAAAAAACAGATGTTGCTGAAGAGCATTTATTATGACAATAAAGTCTTAAAATTGAATTTCATGTTAGCTGAGAAGCTGCAGATGTCACAAGACAAATTCACTTAGGTAGCAAATACTTTACTGATGATGAGGATACTGAACAAGGGGTGCAAACGTGGCTCAGACAAAAACCAGAAGACCTCTATGGTGTATGTTTTTGGTGTCTGATATAAAACAATGAGATATGTGCATCTATATGTGTAGTTAAATGTGGTACAATAATACATTTTAAAATGTGGAGGGAGGTCGTGTTTGCCCTACTTGTGACTACTATCTACCCTCACATCTTCTCATGTATAAAGTATGTATACCTCATGCCTGGTACCATTCCTTTTAAGATACAGTCTTTTACCTCTGCATTCAATAACGATTGAGGTGGCGCAGTGATTTCTGTCAGGCGTGAGGTAAAGTTAAGTAAAACGTGATGTGTATAAGAAGTTACTCCGTATGTCACTCGGGCGCCAGTCCTGCACTGTTCTGGTTTTACCTAACCTCACGCAAGACTCCTGCAGCACGTCCTCATTGTGCGCCACGGATGTCTCAAATGAGCATTAACAGAGATGTCAGGGGATCTCGGAGTTGGCAGCCCCCAGAGGTGTAGTGTCCTTGTGGCTTTCATCATCCCGCCCCTAAACGCATAGGTGAAAAAGCTTATCAAAACTCATTAGGAACATGAGTAAAGTGCTTGTCAAATGTACAACTAAAATGACAATTCTCGTTTAAATGTTTGCGGAGTGAAGAGAACATTGTGCTGCTGAGACTCAACCCTTGACCTAAAAATTTACCCGCAGCACAGACGAGTAACATCTGTAGGTGGCATCTCGCAGCAAGATTCTACCCATGCACATCCTCTGTCAACCCTCAGTGTTGTCGCCACCGCGCTGAGGTGCACCAAGACAGCAACCATCCATCGGCTGGTAAAGCCCAAATCTCCAACAGAAATAGATCCTACGGCACACGAGTGAGCTCAAAATCCGACCATCATAAATCATACTGATCAGAAAAAGTCTAAATGTCCACATCCCGAGACCCCACTCGCCCGAGTGTTGGGAACAAACAGATAAAGATATGCCTGATGCAGGATTCTCCATTCTGTTGTACTAATAGCATGCTAAAGAGGACAATCGTGCGACGAAAGAGATTGTACCTATTCGTGTGGTCACAAAAGTCCAGAACCCATGGGCTGCTCCCTACTGATCTCCGGAGGGCGCAGCCCGTGTCGAGCAGAAAGCCTAATACGGTTGTGAGGTTAAGCAGTTATGTGCAGGATGTGACGCTTCCTTGGGTGAGCCCAGAACCAGAGCGTTATGTGTCGGCTCTGCATTTATGAAAGCCTCCTTGGATGGTGGGGGATGCCCATGATCTGCCCCTGCCTTCCCTTGAGGGCTAACCATTCAACACAGGGCTGCCCCAAAGGGGGTACTCCAGGGGCAACACCTGTGGAGAAAGGGACAAAGAGGACACCACACAAATAAGATAACCTCTCGACCCACACACAAAAATGGCCAGTCATCCTAGAAATAGGCCTGACGTCTTTCCGGGAAGTCTGCCCGTGAGGCAGGGAACGGCAAAAGCCAGTAAAACGTTGTACACGCAAAACTCAGGTCCAGGTAAAAGCCAAAAGTTCAAGCGGATGATTAATGTGACCTTCCGCCAGAATTCACAGCTTGTGAACGAAGAAGAAGAAGAACGACTAAGGAATTTCACTTTCTTATCAGTCTTGTGCTGCAGGCATAAACAGAACAATTCTGAAAAAACAAAAGTGTAATACTAGAGACTGAACTTTCCTTTCCAGAGAAAGAATTAGATCCAGACACAATAATCGAGCTATTTGTTGAGGATAAATGCCTGTTTTTCAATGACGGGAGTAGACTGCACCACTATATGAAAGGCTGGGTTCAACATGCACAAGATATAACATAAAAGTAAATATGACTTAAACTGAAATAATGCAAGTCAGTTGGATTCTGTGGCGTAGGCGTTGTGAACGTGCTTCAAAATGTCAGGTTTGATCTCAGCTGCAGGTCAGCAGAATTGCTACACTGCTACATATAGGGTTCAATGGTGGTTGTCCCCCTGAGAACCTAAATGTAGTCATGTCTGGTTGTGCTTTGCCCCCATAAATGCCGATGAAAAAGATCACAGAGTTTTCGTCCCCTGCTCATAGTCCATGCATTGTGGCATTGGTAGTCATGTTTATTCACAATCCAGTTTTCTCCATCTCGTCACATGACCAAAGAAGGTAGCTTGTCTGCTTCTGAGGTGGCTGATATGTTTTCTTTGTGAGCCAGTTTTTTTCAAGACATCTTCATCACACTTTTTTATCTGTCCGGGGTATTCTCATCATTCGTCTAAAAATTCACATCACTGCCGCTTCCAAATGTTTTGCAAAATTCCCAACTGTAAATGATTCACTTCCACGTATCAGGATAGGATTTATACAGCTCTTTAGAATTCTCTTCATTTCTGTTGACAAAGAAAAATGTGCATAAAATATTCTTCCTTTTGTAAATGTGCTGCCTTTAGTTGAGCTGTTCTACCTTTAACTTCTGTGATACATTCTCCATCTGCTGTTATCAGGATACCTAAGCATTTAAACTGATCAACTTGCTTCAGGATTATTCCATTAAATTTGATGCTGCATTTTGGAGGGTCCATTTTCATTGTAATTACCATTACTTCTGTTTTTCTGCTGTTCAAACTATGACCCCTGTTTTGACTTTTTTGCAAAAATGGTACAATCATGTCCACCACTTCTTGCAGTTGTTTCATTTTCAACGATCAAAACTATAATGTCCCAGGATACCACACATGTATCTACTTTTTATTTCACTGTAACAACTGAATAAACTGGGTGATAGTACACATATCTGTCTTACGCATCACTTTATATTTTAGAAAAGTATCAACCTCTTGTCAATTCTTGTTGCCAGTATACCTTTTAGTGTAATCAATAAAGCACAATACTGATCTCTGAATTTCAATAATTCTTTCTGTAAGTGTTCTCAAGATGAATACTAATTGTTGTGCCTATATCTCTAACAAAACCACACTGCTCTTCACCAATTTCTAGTTTAATTCTGCACTTTTTTCTCATGAATATTTTAGTAATATGACTCAATAAACTAACTGTCCAATACTTTCCGTAATCCACTGCACTGTGTATTTTTGGTAAAGGTATGAACAGAGATTTCAAAAGATCAGTTATACATCACTGCTATAAATCTCATTCAACAATTCACCGCATCCACCAACAGCTTTAAATTCTTCAATAGTGATGTTATCTGGCCCTGGAGATTGACGTTTCCTCAAGTGGTGTATAGTTTCTTCTATTTCTGCTTTTAATACTGGCAGTCCTTCCCAATACTCATGACTCTCAATGTCTGGTCTGCTGTTATCATCAAATTTTTTTTTTTGGGCATGAGTCATCCAAAACAATTTTTTCTAAATACCCTGAGGAGTGTATTCCATTTAATGTTTCACTCTGTATGTGTGTGGGGGGAAAGGGGGAGGGATGTAGATAAATACATTTTACCCTTTCTTTTTAGTGACCTCTGTAATATAGCTGTATTTCTTTAAAGGATTTTTTCAGAAATTCCTACGGGTTCATGGCCCCTTTGTTTAGCATTCACAGGACAAATGTTTTCAAGAACTGAAATATCTAGGAAGTATATTCTCAAAGGACAGGAGGTTAAGATCATTAAACAGAAACAAGATGCCAATGAGCCAGAACTCTTATACACCAACTGAGGCTATTATTAAGATGTATGTCTGCCAGGAAAGATTAAAAACAGTATATTTATTCAACATTGTGCAAATGGTTTGGCCACATTGTTAGAATGCAGCCACAACCCCCAATACAGCTGGTAAAAATGAAAAAAATATGATGTAAAAGCAAGAAGTCACCCCAGGAGAAGATTGGTGGATATTTTAGACGTTCTATATCAATACAGAATTACAATAGTGATTGTATCCATAATGCAATGGATAGCAAACTGTTCCTTCCCCTGATGCTTAACTGTTCCTTTCCCTGAAGCTTAACACTAAAAATGAAAATTGATGATGACGATCAATCTCGTCTTAAGTTCTTATATTACTATCATTTTTGTTTATTATAGTTGTATGAGTAGGAAGTGAACTGTAGATTACAGTGACATTACTATTGGGCGGCAGCAAGCATTAAATAAAAACTTTATAAATGTATTCTCATTTCTGAAACTCTCTAAATGGTCTGTTATCTCCTACAGCATCAACTGCTGATTCTAGTGAAATCAATTTAAATAATACAGGAGTCTGTGAAAGATTAGGATTATGTTTTTCAAGGCATCTTATCCAACTAACCACACTTGACTTCAAAGATGTTCCTGTGATACAAAGACCTAAAATGGTACTATCTTCTTGTTGATGGACTGTAAGAGGCAACTTCATTTCCTCGGTGTGTTCTTCTTCAAAGTAGCTTTGCCATTCAAATATTTCTGTAAATAGATAAACAGTTAAACATATTAATTTTAAAATTTAAAGTTTACCATATGAAATAATTTTGTCCAAAGAAATGGATATCTTTACAGCTCAGAATATGTAATTGTTTTGAAAACTAATTTTTAAAAAGCCAACTTATTCACTACATAATGCTGATTGTTGAAATAAGAATCTACATCACAGCACTCTGGACACTCAGATAAGGGCTCCGTACTTATCTTCAGCAGCAAACGAAGAGCCCAAATTCCAATGACACCAGTAACTGCCTGTCTGTATATCCATCTCACCTTTCCCTTGAGTGTTGAACATCGGCCAGATCCCCTGGTAACCCCTGGGAGCGCCATTCTCCTCAGACCGTGATGATCTATTTGTGCTTCCGCACTGTTCACTCAATCTCAGGGGGCCCTCACAACATCTAGCTTGTCATACATCAGTTCACCACCAAGTGGTGCAGAACCGGCCAGTCTATCTGCCTGCTAATTTCCCAACAAACCAGCATAAACCTGGAGAGAATTATCATATATATCGGAACCTCTGAAGTGATGCTTGTCACTCTGCTTGGCGCATACCTGTCTCCACCTTTCTCAACATGCTCTGCGAGTCAGTTACAATCAAGGTATGTGTGTACAGTGGATTCTCAAGCCTGCGGAAGGCAGCAGTGACTGACTCCACTTCTATTCTCAAACTAGACATTTGAGATATGCTGACGACAGTGTTGCTAGCAGAGAGTGAGCAGGAGTTGCAAGACCTAGTGGAGTGCAGAATTTGGATTAGATATTAATTTGAAAAAGACAAAAACCATGATATTTAGCAAAGAAAATAATCAGCTAACAATAAATATCACAGTGAACGGGGTGAAATTGGAACAAGTTAAACATTTCTTATATCTTGGACAAGTAATAACATGTGACGGCAGAAGTGAAACAGAAGTCAAGAAAAGAATAGGAATGACCAAAAACATTTTCACAACATGCAAAAGTTACTGACATCAAGAGAAATAAGCAATACATTAAAAATAAGAATTGTGAAATGTTATGTATTCTCAACCTTACTGTATGGCATTGAGACATGGACAATGAACAAACAATTGGAAAAAGGTATAAATTCTTTGGAGATGTGGATATACAGAAGATTAGGTCGTATTTCATGGAAACAAAAGCTATCAAATACAGATGTACTGAGGAAATTGGAAATGAAAAGAGAGTTGCTAGGTGAAATAAAAAAGAGACAAGTGAAATACTTTGGTCACATTAAAAGACATAACAGTGTTGTAAAGATCATCCTAGAGGAAAAGGTTCAAGGTAGGCAAGCAAGAGGCAGACAGCGTTACAAGTGGGAGGATAACATCAAGAGATGGACGAACTGCAGTATGAGTGAGTGTACATCAAGGGCAAGAGACAGGGCTTGTTGGAGATCCATTGCAGCCAACCTTCATTGTGGAGACGGCACCTAATTGATACCATATGCCAGGCTTTGTTGCATGCACTAAGCGATGTCCATTCACTTTTGCTATGAACCCCCATGCATTTCGTCTGCCCCTCAACACAGAGACATCTGTATAGATCATCACATCACTTAGGCGGAAATTGTCATGAATCATTTGTTGAATTTCTGATTCTGCAGTGCCAGCTGGCCAGTCCGTGCACTCACAAACCAAAGTGATAGGAACCCTACACAAGTCTGAAACTTGCTTGGACACTTTGACCAACTCCTCACCTCGCACAAATGTATCAAGCCTGCACACAAGTCTGATTGTGCCTTCAGCTTGCACCATCCGAGACTTTCCTCTTTTCAGTCTGTGACCTTAGCTCTACCCAGGACTTCATGCAGGAGGTGCTTTTTTGTCTGCAGCTACTCTGAGATATGACTTCAATAAATATATATTTGAAGATAAGCGGAATAGTGAAGGCCCACAAATACTGGCTGCAGAAGTTAAGGATGCACTACATTATATCAAGAAAGGAAAGGCACCTGAACCAGTCATCATGCTAGAAGGAACAAGCCTTGGGACAATTGATGACTAAAGATAATGGCAGTAGTGAAGACAACGATGAAGTGGAAGACAGGATATTAAATATAGGGTTTTAGTTAGACCCCTATTTCCACTAAGTCCACACAGAGGGCATTGGTGGAGACCAAGATGAGGTAAAGGATGGAAGAATAAGACTTTCTTTCCCTATTCTGGGTGAAGCCAATTAAATTTAGTGTATAAAGAAACACCATATTTATCATAACACTTTCAGAAAGAATGATTAACATGAATAGAGATCTGTATTTGTGCTTTATTGATTACACTAATGCTTTTGTTAAAGTAAAACATGAAGAAATTATCAGAATTTTGGAAACCTTAAACATTTATGGTAAAGATCTAAAAATAATTTTTAAAAAACATATACTGGCAACAATAGCCATAAGGACTGGCAACCAAGTTGGAACTTTTCAAAAGATTAAACAAGGCGTTAGTCAGGGATGTGTATTATCATCCAATTTACTCAATATGTACAGTGAAATAATAATTAGACACATACACAGTATGCCAAGAATTTCGGTTGGTGAGCATTATTGTTTACAAGCTGTGATGTGCTAACGATATAGTTTTCATAGCTGCAAATTAAACCCAACTGCAAGAAATGATGGATATAATTGTTGATGGATATAACTAATGGAAAGTAAAAACAAGGGTTGTAGTGTTAACATAACATAGTGAAAAACATAAGTAATTGTAATTACAGAGAAAACGGACTCTCCTAAATGCAGCATCAAAGTCAATGGGACAAACCCCAAGCAAGTTGATTTAAGTACTTGGGTACCCTGACAACATTTGATGTCAGATGTATGAAAGAAGTTAAATGTATAACTTATACAGTTCTTGATACATATAGTTCTTAATAAAAGAATCATCCCCATAGCTACGGAGTGCATGCTCTGTGTTTGAAACCATCTTCAAATGGCAACGGTGAGAATGGGAAGAGGAGAACACGAGGAAATGGAGAAAGAAGAAGGCACCGAAATTGAAAAGTCGGAGCCCGGGAGAGTCAAGTGAAAAATGGAGCGTCTGGGATTAAAGCCTATTAGAATGGGTTACTGGAATTCTTGTAGCGCCAAGCAGAGGACCTGTACTGGAGAGACTGATATATAAATTTAATATCATTACAATTTAACATAGATAGATATGAGTGTCCTAGATACATGGTCTTTGTACCTGACAGGGAAGACATGGGCAATGTCTGCTGGTGAAGAATGGGGTTAAGCCTGAGGTGATGGAATCAAAGTATACTCGAGGTTCAGGGTGTACGGATAGATTATGGGGGGAAACCTCAAATTTAGTAAACGTTCACACTGCTGTTGAATCTCTTGTCACTAAGGAACATTGGGACTGGCTTAAAAAGTTGGAGGAAATCCCTGGTAATAGGTTTCTTATCTGTGGGGATTTCAATGCGCGGAACAAAGCATGGGACAGTACTGGGAAAAATAGACAAGGAAATGATTGGGTACATAGTTACCTAATTCCACCTTCAAAACCAGACAAAGATGATTCCAAACTCAGAGGTTTCAGAAATCACCCTACAAAATACTTTTGGCAAGGTGCTAGAGAAGATTATTGCTGTTAAACTACAAAAGTTTTTTGGGAAAGTTAGAGTTCCTGCCAAAAGGTTTGGGCAGTTACAGGCAATGAAAAGATACCTGGTCAAATGCAGCTACTTTTGCTTTTGACGTTTATGAGGGGTTCCTAAAAATGTTTTGGCTGTTGTAGTTTTTCTAGGCAAATTTACGTCCAATAGTTTGCCATTGTTTTCTGCCACAGATAGGATCAAACCAGGCATCCCAGCATTACAAAGCCCGTTCGCAACGCCCAAGCCACAGACGCAGACAATAGAGTCAGATATATTTCTATATCTGCACTCACTGTGAAGGGAGTTTGTCCCTGGCTTGTGAACAGGATAGTAGCTATCCTGCATTCACATATGGTTGCCCTTCGTCTGGGTACACGGACCTCAGAACCATGTAATATAGACCCGGGACTACCCCAGGGTTCTACAATTTCACTGGTGCTCTTAAATATGTATAAAAACAAGGTGTTGGAAGGATGTTGACATTTGCTGATGATGTTCTTGCATATAGGCAAGGGAATGATAGACAACGGATAGCCCAAGAGCTGCAGGCAACTGCAGGCAGTTGTAGACAAAGTGAATAACTGGTGTGAATAATGGTGGCTGTCATCAACTCAGAAAAGGTGGCTGTTTTGTAGTGATCTCTAGACAATAGAATTGTAAAAGCTAATGTACTAAGTCTCACAGTTGATAACAGGAACATCAAAAGCAAAAACAAACTGAGGAACCTGGGTATCGCTTTCGATAGGAGCCTGTCCTATAGGGATCACGTGGAGGCAGTTGTGGTGAAATGCCAAAAAGGGACTCAATGCTCTCAAAATTATAGCTGCAATGGACATGGAACAAAGAAAGCTGTTCACAACCTTCCAGCATGTGATCCTGTGGGTGATAAATTATTGACTTGGAATACTTACCATATAAAAGAGTCAGCTGATAAAACTCAAACGCATACAGAGTGAAGCTATGTAGGTAATTCTGGGATGTACAAGAGATACCCCACCCCGGTAGTATGTGTGCAATATATACTTGCACTGCCTACTATTGCAGATAGGCTCAAGGTTATGCAGGCAAAGTCATATCTCAAAGTAGCTGCAGACAATAAGCCCCTCCTACATGAAGCCCCAGGTAGGGCTAAGGGTCACAGACTTAATAAGAGGAAGGTCTTGGATGGCGCTAGCTGAAGACACAATTGGACCTGTGTGCAGGCTGGATAATTTTGAGCGAAGTTAGGAGTGGGTCAAGGTGTCCAAACAAGTTTCAGACTTGTGTAGGGTTCTAATAACATTAGGTCGCAAGTCCAGAGACTGGCCAGCTGGTGCTGCAGAATCAGAAGTTCAACAAATGATTCATGACAATTCCACCCAAGTGTTGTGATTATCTATACA